TTACTCGTGATTTATTTAAATAAAACATGTGAAATTTAGTTGAAACATTTAGCCATTTATAGCCGGTTTTATTTGCCAATTTAGCCGGTTCGTCAAAAAGTTCTGGCAACACTGCTCATAATATCTAAAACAAAGCGACACATGTTGCTGGTTGGTATTCGTCCGGCTAATGTGTGAGCAATTGATCGTGCAACCAGACACAGTTAAAGAAGGCCACTCACTCAGAAATTCGCTCCTCTGAGCATAATGCTGCACCATTGGGTCACTTATTTCACATATATCGTATCTCTAGCTACTGCACAAGCGCTATGATCATTCATAATAAAAATAGCAATAGCAGTATTTTATGTGCGCGAAGAGGAAAATACACAGATCGGAGAAAATGTTTTAGAAAAAAATGCGAACAATTTTCAGAAAATTTTAATTTGTGAGTAAGCAGCAGAACTGCAAAATATTTATCGAACGGGCGTGCGCGATCTATTGGATCGATCAGTCGTTAGTGGAACGGTGTCGGTAGCGAAAGTGTTCTGTACTGGTATACGCGGTATCTTTAATGATCATTAAACGATTTTGAAATTGTCAAAAAAAAAAAAAAAAGAGTGCACCCGTTTAGAGACGCATTTAAACAACAAGTGTGTATTAAAAGCATAGGTATCAGCAAGTTTTTTTTTATTTCTATTTTTTTTCCAATATGCGTACATATGTATGTTTGTATATATGGTAGGTAGGTGGATTAAGTGCGAACTAACTTGCTACAAAGTGGCATAAATCAGCGTGGGATTAGTTTTAATCGGTGTAATGGAAAGCAGCAGCGCAGAAGCTAATGATAATAGCCAAAATGTGCTTTTGTGCAAAAGAGATCACTTGAAAAAAAAAATAAAAATATGAAATGTGATGTAATGAATTGTGTGCGCTGTTGTTGTCATTTATGCTGCCCACATATCCAGCATGAAATTGACGAGAACAGAAAAAATAGAAAATATATATCTACATACATATGTACATACTTATGTATGTATATAAGTATAAATTGTATATATCAAACTGATTTGAATTGAATTGAAGTGCGCATTGGCAGTGCAACAAATGAATTTTCAGTGAAGTGCTTTTGCTTTTGACGTATGTAGTAGTTCTTTTGCTGCCAAAAAATTCAGCGTGCTTAAAAATAATTTACTTAAATATGTATGTTTTTATATATGTACGTTAGGGTTATGATTTTTTTACAATTTTTTTAAATTTTGATTTGCCTGTGCTTGCATTTAATGAACTTTTGTCCATATATTACTTTTTTGGCGATATTTTTGTTGGTTCGTGAAAATACCTCCCGCGCACACTATCATTTCATTTACAAGGCTGTTGCATGGCAAAGCCCCATACCTAGTATAAATATTCGACCGAAATTCCTTTTTGCCTACCAAGTTTTGATTTAAAAACGATGTGTATCAGCACTAAATCCACGAATCTATTTTACTTGAATAAAATCATAAGACATTTGAGAAGAAAAACATGTTTGAATATTAATTTTCTCCACTTAGAAACTGATAATAAATTCCGATATGCGCGCGAGTCTTTTTGATAATTTTTCAAAATTGTTGTTATTTTTTGAAAATTTATACAAAAGTTCATCGTTTGCCACCACAGGCATTTGAATCTAAAAAAAAATCATAACCCTAATGTACGTACATTTGTACGCGCGTTCTTCTGTGCATATCTTGTTGTGGTCATGCAAAATGTATGTATTTCATTATACATAATATCTTTCCGGGCGTAAACAATTAAATTTATTCCGCAAAAGCAACTCAGTATTAAATACAAAAGTGCTGGCATTTATTTTTTGAATTCACTAAAATTTATTAAAATGGAAAGACACATCCGAAAATATACAGTTATGTTCATATAATAATATAAAAATGTGGTGGTGTTCATAAACAAAGAAAGGGAAGAACTGTACGCAGGGAATTTGATCTTTTTATATAATTTTTTATTTTTTTTTTTTGAATTACTGCCTTAACCAGGTTGGTGGCTTTTTGCGACTCGTTAGATTAGGTGGCATGCGTATACCCAATTGGAGCCTAGCAAAAGTACGATGGTAGATTCGAAAGGCACAATACACACAAAATTTGTTAAGTACGGTTTTTCTTATTAAGCACTACAAAATAAGCAAAATATTTTATGCAACTTTGAACTAATTTTTATACCCGCACTTGTGCACAGGTTGTGTAACGGTTGTTTGTAACAGCCTAAAGGAATCGAGATAGATATAGACAAATGTATACATAAATGATCAGAATGAAAAGAGCAGTCGATTAAGCCATAGATATCTGCCCGTCTGTCCGTCCGTCTGTCCGTGTACACGATAACTCGGGCAAAAATTGAGATATCAACGAAAACTGGTATATAGGTTGCCCTTGATCCAAGGTAGGTTGCTATAGCTTGCAACATATACATAGGTTGTTCTAATATAACGATATTTTCGAAACTTGAAAAAACTATAATATTTCAGTAAATATTGGATCCAAATTTTTGAAATTAGTACGTGAAGTAGAATTTTGGTGAAAGATAATATTATTTAGAAGGGGCGTAACGGTAATTTTCAGATATACGAAAACTCCGATATTTCAATAACTGAGGACGTCCAAGTTAATACTTACAACAATTTCTTAACGATAAATAAGACTTGTGTAGACATTTGGGTGGTTTAAAGAAAGTTTGAACGAGGATAGATAGTTGATAACTGTGCCGGGTATATAAAATTCGGTTTCGCCCGAACTTATACTTCTTTACTTGTTTTCATATGCCAATTCTCCTAGAAGGTTCGAGTGTGGATGCTTTCTTAAAAGTGCCGCTTTAAATACATTTAGTCGCGGTTTCATTTGTTAAAAAAAAACTTAGAAGAACAAAAGGAAGTTGATAAATCCATTTTTTAAGCTAAATTGTTTCCCCGATTGCAATTGCGAAATTTTTTAATATTTCTCGGATATAGCACGCATTCGATTGCTCTTTTATGATCAAATGGTCTCTCGAACGAACGAGTACGATTAGTAATTCGTTCATGAATATCATCATAGCGAATTACGATACGAGTTGCTCGTCCACGTCTGCCACGATTTCGACCCCCAGATATAGGCATAATGGTGCAGCCACTTACATATGTACATATCGGCGGCTAAGTGGAAGATCTACCTATCTTGGTAGCCAGTTCGAAAACGCGCTATATCAGAAAACTTTTCAAGATCGCCTGATTTCAGAGTTTGGTTGAAGAACGCCCTATTTCAGAATTCGTTCCGCTCAGCCCTCGATATAGTCGTGTGAAAAATAATAGGGACACGACATTTTGCACAGTTCTGGCTTTTTTCTTTTGTTTGTTTAATGTTCAGTATTTTTATTTTTTTTTTTTTGTAAAAATACAGCACATGACTAACAAAAACCATTTAGGTCCAAATTTCAAACCTCATAGAAAAATTAACACGTTCGCTGCCAAGCGTATTTAAGCAGTGCGTCGTTATAGACCGGGTAGAATTTTATTTATTTTTGTCTAGTTTCGTGGGTTTTTGGCTATCATTGGGTATCTCAGAAACTCAAATTCATAATAAAAGTAATTGCTTTACGCCTGACACATATTTGTGACGCTGGTCTATAGAGATATTTTTCGGTATAGACAAGGGTCACATTTATGTGATAGGCTAAACATCAGGTCTTTATCTAACTCAGTTTTATTCAAAAATACAAAGCTTACATAAAATTAACTCTAGGTGAAAACACAGTAGAATTATGGGTTATTATGGGCATAAAATTCTCTGAAACATGGCTCAATACTTGGCTTTTATGTTCAAACTTATTATGTTCAAACAAGCCTAAATATACGTACTTACCGTCCTCCGAGTATTTATTTCACTATGAAGCTAATATTTTCTCTCTTAAAGTCGGCAAAGACTTTCACACGTGCACTGTAAATAAACATAACCTGTAATCCCAAGACCACTTGTCACAAACGTGTGCCAGACCTTCCTATAGACCATACTATATCCAACAAGCCGCTATCGCAGACGGCGGTGAATGGAGGTATATTTGAATTAAGTTAGACCGGCGTCACACATTTGTGACGTGAAAACCCAGCTGACACATATATGGGACGCCTGGTAGCGAATGTGTTAAACCAAATTTTACAACAACTAACATTTTGTTACGAATTTAAAAAACTATTCTAAGTAAGCGATTGTAAAGCCCATTAAATTCGAGCTTCAAAAAGTGCAAGTTTCAGGAACCTATGAAATCGCGTTGATTTTTGATAATTTTTTTTTTTTTCTGGCGTACGTTACCGGTGAATTCACACTAACAAAAAATTGTTTATAGAGTTTTTATAGTGGAAATTGGCAAAATAAACCTATAATAAACACAAATTAATCAGAAGTTCATGAAATGTGCAAATTGTTCTGGTTATGCCTCCAAATAATTTTATTTTTGATAAGTTTTACATAAACATACCTTTTATGACGGGTTCTATGTATTCGCATTTTGTATAGGCAGATTAATGTTATGCGGATCTTATTATTCTTATCCTATTAATGTGACTAAAACTGTATAGTTATAATACAAATTTTAATGTATGTTATTAGGGCGGAGTAATTTAATTTCGTGTATGGCATATTCGAATCTACGTTCGATTCTAAGAAAAAAAGTTAAACTAACTATATACCGAAAATGACGTTGGACCCCCCAATTTTTAGAAGAAAAATCAGTGTATTATTACACCGTGCGACAGTAAATTGTACACACAAAAAAAATCAATATATTCGCAAAACTATCGACCAAATATAGAAAAACTGCGTTTATAGTTTTTCTCTCTGACGTCAGGATTTTTTTTAAAAGGACTTTGGAATTTGAAAAATTTGATTTCATCAAAAAAATTGAAAAAAGAAATGCAGTGCAATGTAGGCAAACGGTATGGGTATCAAATTAAAGAAAAAATTCTATAGAATTAAAGCCGGATAAATTTTTTAGTGCATAAGGACGATTAGGTATTGAAAATGTCCTTTTAAAGTTTTATCTTTCAATATCCTTGAAATTTTGCAATGATTATTTTTGAAAAACTTAAGTGTTAAGGAATAATACTACTCGACAACATCCTCGAAATTCATCTTTCTAACTTCATTAGCTCAAATGAAAATAATTAAAAGGGCATTTTCAATACCTATACGTCCTTGCTAACTAAAAAGATTTATTTTATTTTAATCCTCTAGAATTTTCTCTTATATTTAATACCCATATTTTTTATTCTATATTGCGCTGAATTTTTGAAATCATTTTTGGAATTAAGCATATATTTGAAAATACAAAGTCCTTTCAAAAAACATCCTGACGTCAGAGAGAAAAACTAAAAACCCAGTTTTACTATATTTCGCCCACAGTTACTTCGCGTGTTTCGATTTTTTTTTTGTTTTTGTCGCACGGTGTAGTTTTTCATTTACATAAGGTTGTGTTTTTGAGAATTCGGTGGGTTAAACGTAATTTTTGGTATATAGTATGTTCGCCATTTTAGAATAAATCGTGGAATTTGAATTTGCTATACACTTTCTTCGAAAATTTTGCTCCGTACAAAATATTCCGCCCTAATGTACATGTATAAAGAATTTCTTGCATTTGAGTATTAATAAAAATATTTGATACGGTTACACGTAGCAACATTTTCGGCCGGTTTTAAAAATACCACAATACAAATACAAATTTGATTGAAATGCATACATACATGCATACAGTGGAAAATTAATGGAAGATTTTTAAAATTATTAATACTTCCATTATGTGCTTACTTGCTTTGATGATTTTCTAAGTATTCCTTCGGAATTAAAAATGTGAATTTTAAAAGTATAAACTGCATACACAAAAAATTTCCTGAAAAAATGGCATTAAAACTGCAACAATTTACATCATAGCTTTTGTTGTTGTGACAGCATAAAATTCCCCAGTACCGCTATAAATATGGGCTTTTGTTTTTGTTTACGCAGACCCAACTGTAGTGGGAACGTGTGCGCACCCGTGCATTCTCTTTGTAGAAAAAAACCCTTTCTCTTTGTCCAACAGCTGAAAATAATATTTGCCGGTAAACGTTTAACCAATTTCAGGGTACTCGATTTGTATCAGACTACCTGCTGCCCTAAAAACTGTCGCCAAGATTTTATTGGCGGATAGATCCGCATTGGCCGTTTTTAGTGTGCACCTGGAGAAGTCTACTACTTTGGCCGGCCTCTGATGTAGTGTGATGAATTCATGTTTTATCCGCGGTCATGGTCACGCTGCAAAACCTCACTCGGGTTGCGTACGAACATCGTCAAGCACCACTTTGAAGTGGCCATGGGTNTTTAAAATTATTAATACTTCCATTATGTGCTTACTTGCTTTGATGATTTTGTAAGTATTCTTTCGGAATTAAAAATGTGAATTTTAAAAGTATAAACTGCATACACAAAAAATTTCCTGAAAAAAGGCATTAAAACTGCAACAATGTACATCATAGCTTTTGTTGTTGTGACAGCATAAAATTCCCCAGAACCGCTATAAATATGGGCTTTTGTTTTTGTTTACGCAGACCCAACTGTAGTGGGAACGTGTGCGCACCCGTGCATTCTCTTTGTAGAAAAAACCCCTTTCTCTTTGTCCAACAGCTGAAAATAATATTTGCCGGTAAACGTTTAACCAATTTCAGGGTACTCGATTTGTATCAGACTACCTGCAGCCCTAAAAACTGTCGCCAACATTTTATTGGCGGATAGATCCGCATTGGCCGTTTTTAATGTGCACCTGGAGAAGTCTACTACTTTGGCCGGCCTCTGATGTAGTGTGATGAATTCATGTTTTATCCGCGGTTATGGTCACGCTGCAAAACCTCACTCGGGTTGCGTACGAACATCGTCAAGCACCGCTTTGAAGTGGCCATGCGGTTTCAGTTCTGATTGGGTATGAGCAATGGCGTCACGTATCGCGCGAAAAGCTCTTTCATGTCCAGTTACATATTCATAAAAGAATGCCTACAGCCTCAAATACGAGACATAAAATATTCAATGCATAAACAAAAGCATTGCATGTGAAATCTAAAAAAAAACAAAACACGGAATTTATTGGCATCATTATATGTATGTATGTATGTATATCAATTCCAGCGCTTTTCATGTTAACTTAAAACTTTGTTTTTGTTCTGTAAAATTTCAAAATTTTTTATTCAAACCCCAATCGCATTATTATGATGTNTAAAAAAAAAAACACGGAATTTATTGGCATCATTATATGTATGTATGTATGTATATCAATTCCAGCGCTTTTCATGTTAAGTTAAAACTTTGTTTTTGTTCTGTAAAATTTCAAAATTTTTTATTCAAACCCCAATCGCATTATTATGATGTCGAAAAGTGTATTGCAAAACTCTTGCACAATGCTGCTGAAGTGAAAATTTTCTCTAAGAGTTCCAGTGTATCTCGGCAGCTTATCATAGCTGTAAATCATTATTAGCATGAGTAAACAAACAATTAGTCCAGCAGGCTTATTTTCCACGACACCTACATACTTGTTTTCTTTGCGTTCGCTGACAGTTTTGATAAACAGCTGCAATTTTTCCTCATCGCATAACCCACTTTTGTGCATATCTACGTGACCTCATATACACAAACATACATACATACATACATATGAACAGACAAGCACAAGTATTTATCTAAACATTCTCCAGCTTTCATTAATTTGTTTGCTAATTTGATGCCGCATTTTGTAGTCTCACAGCTACGCCGCCGCCATCACTGACTGTTNTGATAAACAGCTGCAATTTTTCCTCATCGCATAACCCACTTTTGTGCATACATATCTACGTGACCTCATATACACAAACATACATACATACATACATATGAACAGACAAGCACAAGTATTTATCTAAACATTCTCCAGCTTCCATTAATTTGTTTGCTAATTTGATGCCGCATTTTGTAGTCTCACAGCTACGCCGCCGCCATCACTGACTGTCTGTGCTGCAGCGCAATTCCAAGTTTTCCGGCACAACGCCAACCACACAACACGAACAACGCGTACACTGCCGCGCCCACGCGCGCATCAATCAAAACAAAACAAGAGCGAAAGCGAAATAAATGGCCAGTAACAACAGCGCCAGCGCTAGCGCGCGCACAACAAATGGAAACGGCAGCGCCACAATTGTTGAATCAAACTTCGCCAACGAAATGTTGCGCGCCATTGTGGCCGCGCACAGCACTGAGAATGTTATCATATCACCGCTACAGCTGGAGGCATTGTTCACCCTGCTCTATCTCGGCAGTGATGGCAGCACCGCGGAAGAGCTTCAGCGTGTGCTGCAGCTGAAACGTTTCGCGAGCAATGCCAAAATGGCAAACCACTTTGCGACGGAACTACAGCTGAGCACCGATGTTGCCGCTGATACGCACATGCAGATGTGCAACGAATTGTTGCTGCCAGAGCAGCTTGAAATCGGTGATGAATTTTGCAAAATCGCTCAAAAATATTTCCATACAACAGCGGTGCAGCGAGATTTATGTAGCCCACCGAAATTGCGCGCGCAGCTTGACGAGGATTTGGCAAAGGTGGCCGAGGGTTATGCGTGGCGCATCACTGATGCCACGTTGTTCACAGCCGCAACACCTGATGCAGCCTCGGCCATCGTGTTGGCAGCGGTGCATTTTCAGAATAAATGGTTTCTACCATTCAGCGCCTACCGCACTGGCTTGTACGACTTCCATTTAAGTTCAGATGAAGCGCCCGCGGCCAATGCCACGTCGGCAACTGCGGCCGTGCCTATGCTCTTCGACGATGATATGTTCGTAAAATTTGCGGAGTTTCGCGAGTTGGACGCGCGTGCCATTGAATTGCCTTACGAGCATGATTACGAGCTGGCCATGTTGGTGCTGTTGCCCAATCGAAGAGATGGCCTGGCGGCACTTGAAAAGCAGCTGCAGTCGGCCGATCTCAATGCGCTGACGGAACGTATGCAAATGGAAAGCGTGCAGGTTCTTTTGCCGAAATTCAGTATTGATTTTGAATGCAGTCTGCGGAGGTACTTGGAACAGGTGAGCCGTCTGCGTGCGAGATTTTTGGGTTAAAATAATGAAAAAAATTTCTGATTTCCTAATTTCAGCTGGGCCTTACAAAGATTTTCTCCAAAGCATCAAATTTTAAAAATATGTTGGCTGAAAACAGCACAGCTTCGCTGACGATTGCGGATATTCTACACAAAGTCTGCATTGAGGTGAACGAGTCAGGAACTGAAGGCGTCAATAGTGTTGGTGAGTGAGAAAAACTTCTTATAAATCATACATAGCATGCACATATGCTCCATTCTAATACTAATTCATTGCATTAACATTCATTGATCAGATTAAATTTGAGAAAAAACAAATTCCAACTCTGAGCGCAGTTCTTAGAGTAAACTCCATACAAAGTTTAGCGCTTTTAGGCTTTTGGTGCTCTATTCAGCTAAAATTACTGTGAGTCGAATAGAATTATGTTGACGCTTTTGTTGGAATTCGCTTGCCCTTAAAATGCAAACTAAAAGACTATACTCGGCTTTATTTGTGATCACAGTAAACGCTTTCCTCATTTTTGACTTTCTTACAAACAGTTTTATTTACATATATCAGTTTGTTAAAGTTTTCTTAACTAAAGGCGATTTCCAATACGAAAATATCAGGGAGATGACAGTTATAAGTTTTATCGCAAAAATGTTGCTCCATAATAGTTATTAGATGACAAATAAAACAAGGAAATAGTTCGAGATAACAGATATTTTTGACCCCTGCCAAATATTCCATTCACACCTCGATCATAACGCCTAGACATCTATCAGAAAGAAACATATACATATGCATACATGCATAGGTACATTAGACTGCATCACCAAAAAAAGTTGCGGGTTTTCTGCCGGGATTACAAAATGTATGTTGTAATGTCGTCCAACAAAATATTTCGGAAAAATAATAAGATTTACATGAGCTAGACCGATTTGAAAATATCTCCCAAAAATGGAGTTTTTTTATGAATAAAAATAGTTTCTTATAGAAATTTTTGAAAAAACTCCCCTCGGATGACAAAACAGATTACGCTTAAAAAACATGCATACAAATATTTAATAATCTTTTCAACGGAATCATAATAACAAGATTTTTGATGCGTTTTTTTTCAGCGATTGAATTTACAAAAAACGTGAATAACTGGGCTAAAACTATCTGATTTAGACTTATGGGGTCTCACTAGAAAGGCATTTTCCCATTATTTTTATTTCTGTGCACAAAAAACTCATTGACGTCTCAATTTTTTTTTTATTCAAATACCAACACATGGAATGACGCTCGTTCATCCTACCTTTCTCTTTCATCCTTTGAATGAGTTTATTAGCAAAGAAATAAAAAGGGTAAAAAATAAGAGTTCGACCGATTAATCGGCCAATGCCGGTGCTAGTATAGGCCAAAAGAATCGACATCGGCCATTTTTGGCCGATTCTTGAATGAGGTTATGTTATTTAGTTATTTAATAATGTTTTTCTTTGTTATTATAAAAGTTTATAAAAGCATTTGTTCTTGAAACGAATTGAATTCAGGATTTAATCGGCCAAAGCATCGGCCGATTCTTTGCCGATTAAATCCTGAATATAATATAATTTTAAGAACAAATGCTTTTATAAATTTTTATAATAACAAAAGAAAGACATTATTTGATATAACGATTCCGATTNTATAAAAGCATTTGTTCTTGAAACGAATTGAATTCAGGATTTAATCGGCCGATTCTATGCCGATTAAATCCTGAATATAATATAATTTTAAGAACAAATGCTTTTATAAATTTTTATAATAACAAAAGAAAGATATTATTTGATATAACGATTCCGATTCTTTTCGATTTCTTTCGGCCAATTCATCGGTCGGACTCGATGAGAAAATACCTTTCCAATGATACCTCACAAGTCTAAAGTGGAATAGTTTAGGTTCAGTTATTCAAGTTTTTCTTACACCAATCTTTGGAAAAAGTTAAAAAACAGCATCAAAAATCTCATTATTACGATTCCGTTGAACATTTTTTTACCTTCCTTTTATTAGCACGGGATGTAGCTATGTAATATTGATGCGCCTAAAAGATGCAGCGATTTCTATTCTCAAGTTACATACCTGATGACAGTACGAATGGCAATTATAATAGGGAGGTTTTAGTTTTTTGAACTATAATTTTATTAAATTTTTCTTTAAATATTTTTGTGCAAATTTTTTAAGCTTAAACCGTTTTAAACCGTTTAAAAAAAAGCCGTTTTAAAAAAAACTACATATTTGGAGGTCTTTTCAAATCGGTCCAAATCACGTAAATCTTAATATTTTTCCGAAATATTTTGGTGGAAGTCTTAAAATATAATGGATTTTATAATCCCAATGGAAACATAGTAGCGATTTTTTTTTGTATGGGGAGTGATGCAGTCTAATGTACATATGGAATTTTATAACTGACCAGCAAATACTCAGCGTTCTTCACTGCGCCTTAAAAGTATGTTTGTGTTGTTTGAAACAATCTAAGGTAGCTTTTATTTAACTTTAAGCAAAATCTGGAGCAAATTTTTGTTATAATTTGTTAAAAGAACCCTAAGGTAAAGTCGCCCTTGCCCATATGATTGTCATGTGCTAAGAAATAGTTTTTCGCATTTTCTGACACGTATTATTTTGAGTTGTGACTCTTTTGAAGACGGTGTGCGATATGTTGAGTCAAATCGGTTTTTTGTTAATGCGGTTCTTGCGTATATTTTATCAATTATGAGCGGATAGATTTTTCATATACCAATATTTACCAAACGATAAAATCACTAAACTTCTTCAAGTTCGTACAACTTCACAAACCGATCGTTCAATATATTGATCTTCTTCTTCTTCTTACTTGGCACTACAACTAATTGGGAATTGCCATTCTCCGTTGCGAGGTTCTGTCCGTTATCCAATAAAGTGTATATAAGTTGTAGGTCCCTCTGCAATGGGTCCTTATATTGTTTTCGTGCATGCCTTTGCTTTCGTCCACGGCCGAGATAAGAGATTTATAAAGTGTGATTTTCATTAGTCATGAACGAGCTCTACTTTGCTATTATTCAGCGAGGCGAAAGTAACATCTATTGGCAAGCGAAATTTTTTGCTTGAACTCAAACTGACAGTCAACTACCCATTCGTTGTAAATAACTTTTTATCTTGCCGCATTTGGCTGCCTTCGGTTCTATTTCTTATTCGACAAAAACTAATTCCGGGTCGGATTCTGCGACATATGTACATATGTATGTATATACTTACCTGTATGACTATTCTGAATGTATTGTATACTAAGAAAAGGGGAGTTTACTGAAAATCGATCTTTTATAAAACTAGTAATTTTGGAATCCCAATTTCTTGTTTGTAAAAGTAAAAAGTATAAAACTTTTAAGCTAACAAAATAGTTATTCTTTAAAATTCGTTAAAAAATCGTTTACTCAGCCCAGCATACTCATTAATTTGAAGCTTTAATACGTAACATCAACGCACCCCATCTTGGCATTTGCACTCACATAGTTTTAATCTCAGCTTAGCTTATCACATCCAGCATATCCAGCGCATTAAACCGCATTTTTGTCTACTACATAAAACTCAATGCTCAACGAGAGTAATTTCCTCTTTTTGCAGTCCACAAACCGATTGTGATTAGCAATTCGATTGATTCCCGCAAGAAATTCTTTCGTGCCGATCATCCCTTCTACTTTGCCATACGAAGTCGGGAAGCTACGTATTTTGTGGGTCATATAACGAAATTTTGAGCACTCTTGACTTTGTTCATTCAATGTTATTTATTTTAATTTAAATGTGTACATATGTATGTATGTCTTCATATCTATAGTGTTTGTTGCTCTAAAAAATACTCATTCATTTAACTAAGCGAAGCGGGTTGCTGTTAAGGTCGCCTGGTGCTGTAAATCCATAGCCAATAAAATGGCAATAAATAAAACAACAATTATTTTTTTTTGCAATATTTTTGCTTTTATATAACAAAGAGTCTCGAAAATGTTTATTTAATATTTAGAGTTCAGATTTTACAATTTTAGTTTTAATTTGTTTGTTTAGGTAAATTATTAAACTTTATTTTTTACAAGTAATTTATTCTATAGTTTTATAAACGTTTCCTATTTACGTATGTAGCTGCTGCCTCTAAATGGAGCGCTTTGGTACTTTTATGAAAAAAGTGGTAAGTACATACACAACTCGTTTGTATCTTAGTTTAGTTTTATTTTGTTTTATTTTTTTTTATTATATTGTATTTTATTTTATTTTATTTATGAAAAACGCTAAACAAGTTATTTACACTGCACAGAAATTGCATTCAAATTTACTCTATATATTATTGTTTAAATTTAATTTCTGTTGAAGAACGAAAACTAACGCTTAATGTATGTTTTGAAATTTCTGAAGAAATTGCATTCAACTTTGTTCCCATAACGGTTGTATTAGCTGCCTGATTTAAACTAGCCTTAAAGAGTAGTAGGTATACAATTTCCAAAAGAAGAGAAAATGACTTTGTCATGCCTGTTTGTCTGTCCGCTTAAACAACTGATGGCTTTCCATCAAATTTACAAAATCACTTTGTTACTAGTCAAAATGTAAATAACGAAATTCTTGGAATTTTACTATTACGAATCAAACGTTTAAATATTTGTAATACAAATGTACCTTGACTCATTATTAACTAGTTTACAGTTTTTTATATATAGTATGTATATATATTTTGGTTTGCAATGAGAAATTTTCCTTAATAACTTATTACAAATTGTTATGCTAACTACACACTATGCTTTGTTGGGTTTTCCAAGTTGTATCACTAAATTAATTGTATGAATTACATTAAATGCATAGCTCAAATGCTTTGATTTTTATTTTATCTCTTTAACACTTTGATGACTAAATACATACATATGTACAGTTTGAATAATGATCGTTATAATAACACGCTATGTAACTAATTATAATTACGTATGAATTAATTAATGGAATTTGAAAACTCTACGTAAATTCTTTGTTTTTTGTTTTTACTTTTAAGATTTACTATACGTACATACATATGTATGTACATATTTTCAAATTCAAATATGTTATTGTGGCGAATTGTTGGAAGAATGAGTACATACATACTTATGTATATTAGGCATGTATGTATGTATGTACATATGCTTGTAGTATTTAAACCTAACAGGTAGCCAACTCTACTATAATACTGACCAACAAACTTTTGCGGCGGAGCTGTTGAGATTAAGAATCTGGCCTTTAAATTATTCAATTGGCTCTACATAGTTGTCGAGATATTTGGGATTGCAAGTGTCTAAAATTCCCTTTTTTTAATTTTTAGAACTTTTGTAGTAGAATTACAATGCAATGTGGAACCTTTTGAAGAGCTTACAAAGAAATCTTAAATGTCGTCCTTTTAACCCAAAAAAAAATAAGAAAGTAGGATCCGTAAAAGTTAGTTGCAAATACCATTTTTTTAACAAAAGAAAATTTAATCAAAAATGTGACGATTGCAATCTGAATATCCTCCCTTTTTAAATCGTATCCAAAAAAGTTTTTTTTAAAGTTGTCTTATTGTACGAAACAAAACCATATAAATCCAAGTTTCGAATATTGTGGAACATTAAAAAAAAAAAAAAAAAAAAACTTTAATAAAAATTTCGAGCTTTTTCAATTTTACCATAATAAAGTGCATGTTTAAAGCTGGGACTTACGGTTGATTTTGGACAATTTCGTTTGTTGACCATGTAAGTCATTTTCTTTCCTTTGAAGTGTGTTCCAACGATTTTTTTTTGTATAGAAGAAAATTACTGACATCGCCAATGACTGGCTTTGCCAAAAATCAACGGTAAGTCCTAGCTACGTTGAAACTGTACTTTGGTATACTAACATTTAATGGGCTACAAAACAGCATACTCAAAATATTTCTAAACAACCGAAATGAAAAGCTCGACATTTTTACGAAAGTTTGTTGATTTTTATTTTTTATTTTTAATGTTGCATAAAGATTGATACTTGGATTTATATGATTTTTTTTTTTAAATAGTATTTATATTTTTATTGACAAATAACTGAAATTAAACAATATTAAGATAAATGGTCAAATCGTGTCAATATGTGAGTGCCGTAAAATTATGATCAGTACTATAGAACAAAATTTAATGAACTTGATAAAAAGAAATAAAATTGTTGTTTTGGAAAACAAAGTTCAAGGAATCAACTTTTATAAAAAAAATAAAAAAATTTGAAACAGAAGAAATTGTAATCCAAGTGGAAGAAATTGTGTTAGATAACAGGAAATGCAAAAATAGGTGATCCCAGCTGTGGGCATTTTTTGACAATCAGCTGATAGTGTTTTTGCTTAGCAGGCTGTAGGATGATTTCAAATCTATATTTTTTTTTTTTGTATGAATTAGGTTGTTATGCCGGATTTCCATTGTGCATTAAATGACAAAACTTTAATGACAAAATTGGGCATTAAAAAATTTCCGTGTCATTGCATTAATACAAATAATCATTAAGTTCATTTCCACATGGAACTTTTCAAATGGCACAAATATTTAGACATTTCAGTGCCTAGTGGACATTTGGCAATACAACTTTCGACGTTTTTTTGAATTCAGTTAGTAATTTATTAATATTAAATGCCTCTTTATAATTTTTAACATTTTTATTTTTATTTACTACCGTATTTACTAGCCTACAGCTTATTAGTACATACTTATTTTACTATAGTTAGTTAGTATTTTATTTCTTACTCAGTTTTATCACATACATTTTTATTTTTATTTACTTTTTTTTGCATCTTGCCGACATTAGGTTTTTTTCTATTCTTTAACTTTGATTGGGTGTACACAATTTGTTTTGAGATATACACTTTCACTATATATAGTATGTACAGATATTCATATACATATATATGCATACATTTACTACTGCAGTCTCTTGCATCAATTTACAGTTTGAAACAATGATCAACTTTTCATTCAAATACTCAAGTAATAAGTTTACAAAACTAGTATGGACAGAACACAAAAACAAATGTTAGCGATATTTCAGGGATTAACATCCACGAAGTGCACTAAGGATTAAGAATCAATTATCGAATCTATGTTATCATCGATAATCCGGATTACAATAAATTAGCTTATATTCAATTCGAACTACTTCAAGCTCCAAATCAGGGAAGGTTGTTTTCTTGTTGATCTTCAAATGCGTCACTTTATTTGGGGCGCGTCTACTGCTGTCAATGCACTTGAATCGAATTTCATAGAGTCGAAAATAGAAAGTGAGCGAAAATACAAGTACCGAGATGAGAGTATTGTTTATAGGCGAGTCATTCAATTGGAAATTTCCCAACCTTCGCCCAATTAAATTCAGTAAATTTATCTCACCTAGGACAAGCTTTAACATGAGCGACTATTTAAAATTTCTAGTCAAAGAGAAGAGAGCTATGGTTATCTTCAAATCGTTGCTGGTATATTTTCTATATATATGCATATGTATTTTCTTGATATCTTCAGAACTTTTCATTGAATTTCTTTTGCTTGAAGGACCTTCCATTTACGATTAGCAGAGGTCACATCGAATCAGGAAATAGTGCATTCTGAATTTTATTGACCCAGTCTGAACCTCTTTTCTCAGCCTGAACCTCTTAACTGAATCAAATTCTGCTGTTTGATAACGAGAGTTTCCTGTTCATCAATATTCCACAAGTAAGCTATTTTAGCTTTAGTCGAATGGCTTCAAATCGCAGCTCCGAGGTGGTCAGTTGGCATCGCCGAGACACGATTACCGAACCTGTCGAGTAAACGATCGATTGGGGAAATGCGCGCCAGCCTGCTGAAACCAAAGATCGACCAAGTCCATGTCTTCAGTTTCCGGTTACAAAAAAAAAAAACAAACGAAAGGGCGTTTTCAGCAGCATTTTCAAATAATAATGGGCCAATGATGCTACCGCTCTAAAACCCGCATCAAACTGTCACTCTGTTTTCCGATTCCCAGATGCCTACAGTTTTGCTTTTTAACATAGCCACCGAGATGAAAAAGCGCTTCGTTTTCCATTTCGTTTGCATTATTTCCCAACGTTGTTCAATCGTTAAGCGATTCATTCAGCCTTCTGGTGAAAAATTTCACCGACGAGAAATTTCGTTCACCGGAATTTTTTTTTTTTTTATATTAACTCTTAGATCTTGGGCGAGTTCCTAATTGCATGCTGCTTTGTTTAGGTGCGAAATAAAAACAAAATACTATATAAACCAAGTCACTGGTACAATGCTGTTGCTTTTCCAGTTTAAATATAATAAAAATCGGGACACGATAAATTGCATATCTCTGTGCTTTCTGTAGGTTGAACCTTAGAGTAAATTATAAGGAACTTCCATTTAAAAATTTTATATTTGTACTTAACTTTCATTAAGATAGCATCTTGAACTACCCCTATTAATGATTTGTTTCGTCAAAGGTCCACAGATATTATAAGCATGTTGCATTTAGGAACTCGATACTTCATATATAAATGCAAAGCAACATGCAGTTAGGAACTCGCTCTTGAATAACTGAATTATGGTTCAACATTTGCAGATAAAAATGTTTAAATGTTCTTATTTCGAAGCCTTTGGAAGCTCGCTTATTAATGCCAGCGACGTCCAAAACTAGGCCGCATCTAAAAATTTGTTAGAAATGGTATAGAATTCTTGAACATTAATATTTTTCGATCAGGAAAACTCTACTCCTCTTCAGGATACTTCCGATTTATTATTTCTTCCCCCATTGCATTTTCTGAGGGTTTTGGCGGATCTTTAAAATATAGTCACTATGAAAAAATGGTTAAATAAATCATTGGGTAATATTACTGGGAATCTCTTGAAGAGGAACAGGGGTTTCCCGATCGAAAAATATGGATTTTCAAAAATTCTATACCATTTCTACGAAAAGTCGTTTTTTCCCCCATATAAAATACCTGGAAAACTTTGAGCGCGTTGAGCGACCTCTAAATATTGTTTGATTTCGAAATAAAAAATAGATGTATATTTTTTTTTTTTGGTATAGAACAACCCTAGGGGGTGAGAGCATAAAAATTCCGACTTTACTTTTTCCACATGCATTTTTGGACCACCCTACTGTATACGGAAAATATCGAAATGAAAAGTCATTTACAAGGTCCGGTCTTGTCAAATTAAGATTTCTCTACCAATTTCAAAGTGTTTATTTATTTTAATAAACTGACTAGATTAACTTAATTTTTTAACTACATATATTCTTTATTAACAATAAATTCGATAGCTCTGTGCTTTGAGCTGAACTTTATTCATGTCTATGCAAGATCGGAAGGATTATGCAACTGCAAATTGAATTATTTACACAGACAACCATTACCATGTAACTCTATCTTATTTTTACTGTACAGTAGATACTAAAAATGTTTCACAGGAACAAAATATTTAGTGATAGTTAATCCTACTTCAATTTACATACATATCGTAGATAGGCCTTATTTAGTTCGCCATTTACAATTGCTCCACAGTATCTTGACTAATAGTCACCACAGTTTTTGTTGTTGTTGCTGCAGTAGTGGTAGTAGTCGTCACCGCCGCCGCCGTCACTACATCATCACATGGCGTCTCTGGCGGCAACTCATTTGTGCGATTGAGCAAATAATCCAGATCGTGTGTTATGCGATCCAACATACCAGTCATAGAATTTTCGTCTTCGGGTGAAGAAGAATTGTCAGCAGTTGAGGAATTTCCACTGCTAATCTGGGTTGAATCATTCACCGCACTTGTAGCGACGTTGCTGTTGTTTGTCGCCACAGTATTGCTGGAATTTGTTATAATAGACGTCGGTGGCGTCGCCATCATCGTCGTCGCGAGCCGATGATGTGCTGTTGCGGCTGATCCACCGGAAACGGCAACCATTGTGGGCAGCAGTGGATCGAAGGTGTGTGTTGTGGGCTCCATAATGGTGACACGCTTTTGCGCCTTTGGTGTTTGCGTTGTGGCCGTTGTGGTGCTAATGATGCTGGTGAGTGTGGTCGGTGGCACCTGTGATGGTTGTGGCTGAATTGGTGGTGGCGGTGGCGTAGGTGATGCTGTTAATTCACTGCTACTTTTTGCATAATTCATTGTAGTCTGCAACGGCAAGCCGCTACTTATCGACACAATCGCTGTTGGCAGCATGGCAGTGCCCATATAGGCACCGTGGTGTTGCGCAACATGTTGCTGAGCCGATACAGGTAGCTGCTGGTGTTGCTGCAGTGGTGCTGGTGTGTGATGTCGCGGGAATGTATGATGCTGTAGCTGATGATATGACATTCCCGTCGGCACGGCTGTGCTGCAAATGCCAATGATGGTGTCTGGTATGCGAAAGATAAAATAAAATATTCAAAAATTTAGAAAAAAACCAATCTAAAACGGTTTTAAAGGAACTTTTCGTTAACAGTATACTAATTTTATATTTATAGAACTAGTTATATGCGTACATACAGTTATGTGGAAAATAATAGGGACACGACATTTTTTACAAGTTTTGGCTACTTTTATTTGGTTAGTTTAATGTTTATTATTTTTTTTATTTAACTACAGCTCATTTTGTAACAAAAATTATATAAGTTCAAATTTAAAATTTTGTAGAAAACTTAGAAAAATTAACAATTTTTTTTTTATTAAGAATTATTCGACAAATTTTTAGGCCGGCCATTAAATTCCAGCTCAATAAATTGCAAGTTTCAAGTGGCTAAGAATGTTATTATTTTCTTCCATACAAAAGAATAAAATTGTCGAGCATACTTTGTATGGAAGAAAATGCGTTACATCGTCAGCAAAAAAAGCCACTTGAAACTTGCACTTTATTGAGCTAGAATTTAATGGGCGTAACACTGCGTGAAGTTTCGAATTATGTGGTTGTTAGATAATGAGCTGTATTTTTATAAAAAATAATAAACATTAAGCAAACAAAAGAAAAATTCCCAAAACTGGACAAAATGTCGCGTCCCATTTATTTTTCACATGACTATTAGGGTGCCCATCGAAAATGCTTTTTTTTTGCAAATTTCAAGATCCTACCCCCTAATTTTATTCGATTTTATGAGAAATTTCATTGCCTATTTTTATAAATTTTTTAAAGGTCATTTAGAGGTCGCGACCTGTCGATTTGGGTAAAAAATACAATTTTGTAGATTTATGAGTTTTTGAATGACTATTTTTGACTCGATTTCAAAGATCGAATGTGATCTGAAAAGAGGATTTATAGGCCTTTAAAATGGTATATAATAATCTATTGTCGAACTTGGCTTGTTGGGATATTTTATCGGGTAAAGTAAAAAAACCCATATTTCTCTTAATTTTTTCAGTTTTGACCATCGATAATTTCCACAATTTCAAAATATGTGCGACTATCTAAAATTAAATCTATTTTTAAATAAACTGATAGCTCATTTGGTCAAAATTAAAAAAAACTTAAGAGTAATAAGGGCTTTTTTTTACTTTACCCAATAAAAAATCCCAACAAGTCAAGTCAGACAATAGATTATTATATACCATTTTAAAGGCCTATATATCCTCTTCTGAGATCATAATAGATCTTTGAAATCGATTCAAAAGTAGTCATTCAAAAACTCATAAAACTACAAAATCGTATTTTATGACCTAAATAGACAGTAGAGTGGTCCAAAAAAATTAAGTTGGAATTTTAATGCCGGCACCCCCTAGGATTGTTCTATATCGAAAAAATATACCCCTATTTTTTTTTATTTTGAAATCAAAAAATATTTAGGGGGTGCTCAAAGCACTCAAAGTTTTCCATGTATTTTATATGGAGAAAAAACCATTTTTCGTAGAAATGGTATAAAACTCTTAAAAATCAATGAACCATCCTAGGGGGTGGCGGCATTAAAAATCCGACCTTATTTTTTTTTACATAAATTTTGGACCACTTTAATAGACAGGTTAGGAAGGGTCTTGAAATTTCAAAAAAAAAAGCATTTTCGATGGGCACCCTAATGCCTATACATATAATTCTGATCATACATACAGTATTGGCCATATCTATAGTACTCCTGTTTCAAAGTGATATTGTTTGCACTTCTGTTTAATTACATGGTGCTACAAAAAAAAACAACATGAAATACACCCGAAACAAAACCTACTGTAGGTTGTAGGTATGATTTTGTACGATTATAAAATCGTTCGATTATTAAAATGGGATGGAAAATAGTCGAGCTATTATAGATAAGTGCATGAAGTACGAAAATAACGGGTGTTTTGAGTTCAGGAACTATACGGGACCTATTTTCATGTTGTACTCAACCATACCTACAACCTACACTAGGTGTTGTTTTGGGTGTATTTCATGACTTTCTTTTGTAGCGCCGTGTTATTAATTTTTAAGATTTTTTAATTAAAATACAGTTCATTCTCTGACAAAACCCATATAAACAAATGCAACAAATTTTCACCTAAATTTCAAACGGATCAAAATTTATTTTTATATGAGACCCACAATTTCAGCAAAAAATTCAATCTAAAATAACACGTTGATTTTTTAGAATTCTTGCACACTGTTAGACTAAAATTGAATGGGTACTCA